TCATCCGTCGTTTCGGTGCAAGAACTCTAGTCTGTGAGACAACTATCCGTATGTTGCTGTTTGCTGACGCCTGTGCGTTGTTCGCACACATCAAATTCGGGCTCACCATCAACACAAACAAAACTGTCTGTCTCTTTCAGCCTTCACCGGAGGTGCAATCTTCAATATTGCCGCGAATCAGCATTGGTGCTGAAGTATTGGAAACCACCTCCCGTTTATGCTACCTTGGGAGTGTGATGTCGACTGACCAGCAACTACACAGTTAGCTGCGTATCCGCGTCTCGAAGGAAGCGGTGGCATTCGGGAAGCTAGAGCACCGAATGTGGAACAACCATCAGCTTACCATTAGCACGAAGGTGATGTTGTACAAATCCATGGTGCTGTCCGTTCTTCATTACGGCAGTGAAACGTGGGTGATGTACTGGCGGGGTGTGCGATATCTCGAGCGGTTCCATCAACAGTTTTTGCGACGGATTCTGCGTATCGTCTGGGGCGACAGAGTTGCGGACACGGAAGTGTTGCACCTAAGTGGGATGTATGCAGTGGACTGCATACTTTTATTGAGACACCTGAGATGGATCGGTCATGTGAGCCGTATGGATTCGACGCGGATACCGAAGCAGCTATTATATGGTCAGCTGAGTATTTAGAAGCGACATGTGGGGAAACCACAGTTTCCTTAAGAGGACATGATCAAAGTGACCCTTTCACGTTCTAATCTTGATTGTAGGTGCATGGCGCAATCTGATCATGAAGACACTTACCGAAGTGCTGGAGAAAGACCTCATACATGCAGAGAAGAAGCGGCAAGTGCGGAAGCGGCAAACACCGATATATTGTACTCCATCGACATCGAGCGCATGGTGCTGTAGCACATGTGGTCGCGAGTGCCTGAATCAGGCAGACCTCGTAAGCCATGAGCGAGGCCATTCGGGAGCATCACCGAAGCGACGACGGATCCTACAGCGAACGTAGACAGAACCGGCGCAGCTTTTGCAGGCAGTCGATTTACTAACCGCGTGCTTGCGTGCTAAGTCTGTTTATTTCGGGTGGTGGGTTTTCAATTTTGTCCTAATGCTTTTCTTTCTCATAAATGTCCATCTGTCCTTTTTTCTTTAAACTTGCACACGTCGCTTAAGCCAATTGTAGTGAATTTCGATAACATTTGTGACATTTCGTTAAAATATATTTTCTGACCTCCTGAACTTATCGTGGATTCGTTCGTAAACAATTTGTTTTATACGCCCGTTTAGTAATGCCACCGTATCTGTGTGCATTATCACTATTATTTTATTTCATCTTGTCGTTTCAAATGATTGGCTGTTGCTTGATATCCTCGGTGTGGCCGCGCGTGATATGCATGTTGATAAGCTGCCTACCTGTCTCTCACCCACTACCTTGTCCATACTGGCTCTAGGAGACAGTCGGTCGTTGCTGAACGGGACGGGGTGCGCGGTCCTCGTGGCCGTGTTACGATCAAAGAGTGGTTCCATGCACTCAGTGTGGAGCGGACCCCGGTCCAGCCACCGCCTTGTGTGCGCTTGATTCCCAAATACAGCGTGCTTGTGTTTGCCTATGAATGAGTGTGGGTCGGATCCGTTGATGAAACGTGGCTGCCATGCGCATGCCTCCCGGTCATATTCCTTCGGGTTTACACTGGATATGGAGTGTGTGGGTGGTGCATCGCACGCAATCCATGGCCCCTCTGTAAGCGCAGGCAAATCCTAAACCGGATGCCGTCAACCATATCTACCGGGTTATTGCTAATTATGACGCGAGGCATTGAAAGCCGCAAGGAAGATGTCTCGCCGTATGCGTCTTTCCTTTGCACGACAGCTAGCTGCTTACGTCGTTTCCTTGTTGACATATGGTATAGGTGCCTTGGGCGCTAACTTTTCGCGGTAAGTCCCCTTCTCTCTGTTATTGTTCTTCGTTGCTTAGGTACTTGTGATTGTACCTCAGCGATGCATCAGTTCAACTGGCTAATGTACTGTTGATGATGATCATAACTTTTATGAATGCTTCGCAGACAGTGCTTGTTTAAATGTGTAGGCTACTCTGTTTTCATATTGATGGGTCATTGCTTACTACAATAGAGTAGGACTGCCGTCACCGGGGCCTTGTAAACTCGGAGTTTCAAGCCTTGTAAATCCTTCCGACGCCACAGATGTCGCAGATTCAAGGAGGCAATTGAATTATTTACAATGCGTGATCTGCCTTCACTCTTTCTGCGCTCATCGTTGCTGATGCTGGTGTCAGTGTAAGTGAATTGACCAACTACGTAAGCGTAAGCGGATACCACAAACGTATGGCGTTTATCGCTACTTCGTGTATCAATCTTAGTTAAAGTCCTCAAACGAGCTGCTCACTGCCATCCAGTCGCTCAATAGTGACTCATCCTGCGAGCCGAGAAGGTTGCCCACCTCAGCTTAACCAGGAATTGCTGTATCAGCGTCTCCGAATGCGTGCAACCAATAGCGAGAGGACAAGCCGTGCACAGTTAATTCAACAACCTAGTGATAGTTATTGACCCTAGTTTCCAATAAGCAATACATGTCAATATCCAGTGCGTCTAACCTGCGTGCGAGTGCAGTCTGTTGACCTATTTGTCTTAGTGTGAAAACCTTGAACGCCGCCAGGGAAATGGGACAGCGTGGCCTTATGAGGGACTGATACCGATAGACGTTCAGTAGGTGTTGCGGGAAGGTAGCTGCTGTTGGTGCGACCCTAGTGACATCGTAGCTGCTGTCAATGAAGCTGGGAATTATGAAATGAAGGCTTGTCCTTGGGGTTGGAAGCGGGATGAGAGAAACTGATGGAAAAGAAAGAGAGGAGGTGCCATCAGTAGCATATTTCCGCTTACCGGCCCTGCTCTGTGCAACAGATAAGGTGACCCTTGGTAAGCTGCGAGACGGCCGATACTGGATATAGTTAAATTTTGAGGAAATTGTCATTTTTGCCAGGGCACCCAGACCTCAGCTGGAGAACGACTAAACGCTTTGGTTAAAAGCCTGTCTTTTTGGCAGGGAGATGTGGCAATCATTTGGTTTTACAGAAATGAACTCCCTGTTATCTCACTGGAGGATCCAAAAGCTGAGTTTCTCTGACCTCTAACCATTGACCAACCTGGTAGGAGTAGCTTTCAAAAAGCTGTAGGGCACCCCCCAGTATTCCTTAATGAGTCGACGAGCTAAGTACTCCCACGCATCACGTTAACATCCAGCCTCATTTCATCGGGTATATGGTTGGCGGCATCCGGTTTCGGATTTGCCTCTCACTGTGGTCAGCCACAGGACGCCTGCGCATACAGAGGGACCATGAATGGCTTGCGCTGCACCACCCACAGCTCCATCCACACACCCCAAATCCAGAGTAAACCCGAAGAAATAAGACCGGGAGGCATGCGGATGGGAGCCACGTTTCATCAACGGAGCCGGCCCACACTCCTTCACAAGCAAATACAAGCACACTGTATTTGGGGAATCAAGTGCACATAAGGCGGTGGCTGAACTGTAGTCCGCTCCACACTGAGTGCATGGAACCACTCTTCGAGTCTAGCACGACCACAAGGACCGTGCACCCCGTCCCCTCTGGCAACGACCAACTGTCTCCTGGAGCCAGTATGGACGAGGTAGTGGGTAATAGACAGGTAGGCACCTTGTCAACATGCACATCAAACGCAGCCACACATGGGATGTCGAACAACAATCAATCATTCAAAATGCCGATATAGAATAAAGTAAAGGCATATGACGACATAAGTACTCGTAAAATGAGCATATGGAAGAAATTGGTGAAAGGTGCATACGCAATAAGTACAACATGTCTGGAAGTTATTTAAAAAATACCACGCGATAAAATTACGCAAGTTTACCACAATTTGCGTGAGCGACGTGTGCAAGTAAGGAGAAGATTATCAAATACGCAGAACAAACCAAATAAAATGTTACGAATTTTATCCACATTAAAAGGACCTAGTTTAAGTATACGTTGGTTTACATATATATATATATATATATATATATATATATATATATATATATATATATATATATATATATATATATATATTTCTTCGGGTTCACTCTGAATATGGGGTGTGTGGATGGAGCTGTGGGTGGTGCAGCGCTAGCCACCCATAATCCCTCTGTATGTGCAAGCGTCCTGTGGCTGGCCACAGTGAGAGGCAAATCCGAAACCGGATGCCGGCAACCATGTGTGTGTACTCAATCGTTTTAACGGATTTTTGGCTGTTTCTAGCCCTAAGCTTGCTAACTCTTCCTGCGAAAGCGAAGCCATCAACTACACATTGCCTTATTACTCCTTATCGCCTAAAAAATGTAATGGTCCGTAGATTATCAGCGAAATGCATGGATTATTTTTTAGTATCTCCGTTGTGTTTTACTCGCTTTTCATTTCCGATTTCCTTTATGCATTATCTGCAAGGGAAGGACGCGCGATAATGCCGATTGCGATCCTTTACTTGATGCCTAGGTACTCGCTGTATTATCTGCAAGCCTGTTTTCACACATTTTACTTACGCGACCGCCTACATATTCTTAATATCCATTGTCTTATTACCGCTCCTTATGTCGTATCACGAGACGGCGTTTTTCGACGTGTGTCTCAAGAGACTAGATTCTGCTGCAACAGCGACATATGCTAGCTAGTCAGATGCTTGGATCACATTGTTTCTCTCCCGGCCCTTAAGTTTGCGACCCGTACAGTGACCCGTTTCCTTTGTTAAACCCCGTCTGATATTCCCCACTTGACTGTCAGTCATCACAGCTCTTATGTTAGTTTCCTGTTTGCTCCAGTTACCGTTGATACTTCTCAGTTCTCCTTCCAGATTTTCAATTTTTCTTGTGTTCACTCTCTTACTGTCACAGTTCTCTGATTCAGCGAATGTGATGCACGATACGTGTTTGCGGTTGTCTTGATGATTCATTTTCCTAGGATATTACATTGCTTGATTTCTCCACCTCCTTTGTGTGCCCCAGGTCATTCGGATTTAAAAGCGATACATCCCACCGTCAGTAGACAAACTTATCCAACGTTTCCTAGTCCTCCCACTGAACGAAGCGCACATCAGTGGTCGTTTCCAATTCACTCAAACACGGTGTACAGCTCAAGTGAAGATGAGTTGAGGACAAACGTATCTGAACCCGGTTGCAAACCTGTGGACGTTAAACAGCAGCGCACACTGCGTGAGTTGGCCTCGGGCAGGGTGTTCTCTACTCCGGTTTCCAATCCCCGCGCAGTCACTTCCATTAACACTACTCCTACGGGATTGCTATGTGCTAACCGCCCTCGGTCGATGTTACCTAATCATTTAGCCTCGCGTCGCGATGGCAACCCCGTCACGGTTTTCCGGAGTAGCTATGCCGAACATTCTGTGCATTCTGAGGGTTAGTTTTTATGGCATCAACTTATTTAGAAATTATTCTATATCTGAACTTTATTACTCCTGCTATTTTCTTACGTTAACTCGGAATTAGTTGGGAAATTTGAGGTGTTAGAGGACAGGCACAGTTAGGCTCAACGAGACAGCTCTGGCACGGGAAGGAGACTATGTACAACTATTTCTCATTTTTCGGACTTACCATCTTGCTTATAGCTTGCGCGCTGTAGGCTTCTAACCAGCAGTCTTCTTTTTGCGAGACCATAACTTAAGCTACTGAAAAATGGGTGACGAGGATAGGTCACCGTGACTGCTTACTGACCGCGACATAACACGGCTCATCCTCCAATGTTTTTCCTGTTTTTCTCGTGGAGAGAGACAAGATCCACACCTAGAGAGACGACCCTCAACATGCGATATTATAAGAAGGCTCATATTGCTACTTGAAAGAAAGTAGTCGGGAAATTTACAGGCTACTTGCTGCATCTCTACTTATCCTATGAGGCACTGGAACTCTGTCTAGTCTCCCATGGTTTTACCACTTCGTATACAGCTAGTCGCTAGTTTGTGTCTCTTATGCTACGTTGGAGACCCCCCACTTTGGGACATGACAGTGCGGACGAAACCCATCAAGAGAATTAACCCACATGAAAGCAGGTCCTCTGGGGACAGTTCCATGGGTGGCCGTATCACTTTACTTGAACTTTTGGCTAAATCTGCATGCATCTACCAGCCTTCGTTATCTTTCCGTGGTTTTCAAATTGATGATGGGAACTAACTGCTTTAATTCTGCATTTGTTATTGTCCTAAGTTTCTTGCACTCTAATACTGTAAAACTACCACTCACTTCAGAAACCCATTTGGGACCAGTTGTACAAAACATGAACAGTCTACTATTTTATGCGATCCCGGTGTACAAATTGATCAGTCCACTCAGTTGGATTTTACCTCGCACCGTCGAGGAACAAAACGTTTATTGTATATTCTTATTGTTTATTATTCCCCGTACACCAAGGGCTCATCACCATCGTTATACACGTTAGCTAGAGGTTGGAAACACCTCAGCTACTGTGCCGCAAGGGGTATTGGGTGCAGTCGCCATGGCTTGCCCCAGTAAATAACCACAACAATAATCAACACAGTGAAGAAAGAGGGGGAACGTAAGTAGTCACATCAGTTGAATTTCATTGGATTTTCGTGATAAGAGCAAAGTCAGTTTCCCCAATTCAAGAGTCCCATCACCTACCTTAACGTTTGTCATTCCGAAAGAACACTGTGACTTAGTGTCGCAAGTCCTACGTATGAAGACGGTGGTGCGCTGCAACCAGACAAATTCTTTTACATTTCACCGATTGACAACTCCGATGCTCTTCTCAGCCAACCTGACTATATGCGCACACTACACACCGCATTTAGCGGTATGTGCCCATTCGAAGACAGTTTTCTAAGCGGTACGATAGGCTCGAGTTTGGCCGGTGCTGTAATATGACACCTCACCATATGTCACCACATTTCAATCAGTCTACTCCGCGTTGCTATATCGGTGATCCCATCTTTAACTATCCATGTTATATCGACGACAGCTGTCACAGGCACATTGGTGATCTTCGATGTAGTCGTGCATCCGCTTGGCTTGAAACCTTTCAGCCCCTGACTCAAGTCTTCCTGGACTTAGTTTTGGAATCCTTGACAGTATTATAAACTTCATACAACCGCTTGCGGTTGCATGACATGGAAATATCAATACAAAATTGTTATGCTGCTTCGAATGTTCCCATTTATCTTGTCACTTTTGTTACTCCATTAGTTCACTTTTGTGGCTAACATCCTTACCGTTTTGCTCCTCTCCGCCGTAGAGTTCGACAGCGACGAGGATACTGACCAACTTCTGGAGAGACAGTATCAATCGAACAAGTCCGTTTACATTCCTGAACTGAAACATGAGGCTAACGCGCAGGTAATTTTACTTTACTTTACCCGATTCGTGATCTATCCAATTGGCTGAAAACTTAATGGGTTTGTCTTACTTGTCCTCCGTTCGTCATTGAAGCATAAGTAACCACGAACACCATTTTATTTTAGCTCTTTTCCCTAACTGTGTACGCGCATATCCACCCTCTTCTTGCCCTCATCTTGGTGTCACTCAGGCGCTAATGTCTCTTTCCATCTCTCCTCTTCCACACTGCCTACAACTCCAAATTGCAAAGTGCTGTTAAGGAACCACCGACCGTCTATCCTTTTGAAACTTAATAACAATAAATGGGAGGTAGTTGCGGTTACAATAGCAACAAGGGACACTTCACTGCCGAATTAAGTTTACCTTTTATAAGGCCTGAATTCCTCTCCATGCATAATCCATAACTCCTATGCGGGATGGGTTTTCTTGCTCCTAAAAATCCTGTTTACAAGGCCACGGTAATGTCTGTTCTCGACTGCGTCGAGACATGGCCCCTTTAACTTGACGACCTTAGACACCACCCTTGCTTACAAAGCATTATTCATATATATCGCAACCAACGTTTCTGTTGTGGTTATCTGTGCGAACGAGCACTTGGCTGCGCTTTGTGAAGTTTCGTTGGCTTAGACTCGCGTAATCTGTTCCCCATGTATACTAGTACCAGTTGGAAAGGCCAGTCGGTCATCGAACTTGCTAAAGCCGTGGCACAGAACTTGAGAGGCGGTCACCGAACTGTGGATTCCGTTTGAGGTCGAGAAGATGGCGGTTTGGTGCCTCGCTAAAGCCCGAGTGAATGCCATGCGTGCGCGTAAGAAGACAAGCGCATACATAGTACCGGCCACTTCAAAACTAGACAACAACCATTAATTGATGACAAATGATTGGAGAGTCGTCTTGAAGCATATGTAGTGTGAATGGAATGGGACACGCATTCTCAGTCAGGACCGCGATGACACTTTGAACAAATGGAACGAAAACCGATCAAGAAAGATTTAGCAGACAAATCTCAGATACTCTGCCACCGATGCAGTATACCGGAAGGATCCATCAATCTTACTGATGCACCCATCTCACCTGCATGTTCCGTTCGAGATTTGGGAATTCGATACTTCAACAGCTTCAACTTCTCCAAACACCTACATCAAATATGAGAAGCGAAGCAACTAACACATTACGTCACCTGGTATTTTAAATTTTTTAGACCTCTTGAATCATAGCGCTATCCACTAGAGTGCTGCATCACTATACATAGCTTTTACACAAAATAAACAGAATAATTCTGGAAAACACCCAGCGCTCATCTACCAATTTTGATCATGGGGCGCTCATCAACGCTTACGTATGAGGAACGATGTTCTTACTCCAGCTCGATGCACTCTGGCTCCGACGGCTTTGAAGCAATCTCACTCTTCTCTGCTGTATAATATATATTCACAAGTCTCCACAATCAGTAAGGCTGTTGCTTTAAAAATGCCTCGACTTATCCCGCTCGTGACGGAAAATATCTACTTTTCTTATAGTGCATCACGCACAATATCCGCTTAGCTTTTCTCTTGGTTTGGTACGCCCATCTGTGGAATAAACTACAGTTACAATTAAGAACCGGCGAGAGTCTGTCTGTCAGTTACAACTTCTCTTTCCATGCCAACTATGGTCAAACTTTTCCATCCCCAGCAATTCACGATTGCGCTCAGAGAATTTGGCTCGAAAAACATATGACAAAACTGGCTTCCCATTAATGTTATTACATACTCCACAAAACATTGCATCACTGTTCCATCTTGAATGCAAGTTTATAAATGTAATATTGACGAAACTTGCTGTACAAATGATCGTTCCACAGAAGGAAATGTATCCCACCCGTCGGGAAATATACTCATTTATTTAGTATTTATTTACAACTGTGCATGGGTCATTTTGGTCACTAGGACCGCATCTAAAGCAGGTGACTAGTGAATTTTTTCTGGAACCGATTTTCGACTTACCTTTTAGAGTAACTTCGAATATCCTCTCAAGCTTAAGCATACGCAACTTGCTCTTCGAATGTGCTTTCTACTTTGTTTTCTTGTAGACCTGATTTTGACAACTGTAATGTGTCTCGCGGGTGCCGCCTTGTCTTCATGTTTGTCCGCGATGTTGGTAAGGATTAGGTACCTTGATTCCGATCGTTTGTTTGGGATAGCAAGGTTTATGCCTTGGGACCCTGCTCCACTGCTGTTACCATTCATACTTCACGAGTTCTTCATTGTTATTTTGTAACTATGCATCACATCATTGTGCTGCTGTTCTGCTGTTGGTGGCAACACTGGCCATAGCAAAACAAAGGTTAGGGAAACAAAAGAAGCCGAGTGAGCGCACTCCCATTTTGGACCTTTGGGCCCTCCCGGTTACGCAAAATCCTTAACATACAATGAAGTGATCTAGTGCTCGAGACGACTGTTTTTACCGATATTTGTTCGCTCATTTTTCGCACTTGACTCGACCGCAAAACGCGTTATACTAAGCGACGATGTCGACTGATCCGTTTCCGCAGGAGCCACCTTCATGCTTGAGTGGGTTTCATTGGATGATGTTACTTGGTTTGGTTCACTTAATATACCATTATCTTTTCACCGGCATACAATGCATCCATTTGTCTTGGTTCGCGTCAACAGAAAGTTTATTGATTATGGGAATAAGTGATAGTAGTTCAAGAGAAAATTGCGATTGTCAGATGAGATATCCTGTTGTTACCATTTGTGTTTCTCCAAAATCTGCTTACTACCGGTATTACAACTTAGGTTATCTGAGACAGGTACAATTTTGTTTCCACTACTTCCGCTTCACAGGAGAGCTCAAAGTTAGAGACAGAGAGCCGTCTATCCATCAACTCACATCGATGCAGCCACTACGCAAGCATGACATAGCCAATATTGATCGAGGTATCAAGTTAATGTAGCCATCATTCTGGCTGGGATCTGATGACATTTCGCCAACCACCATTAAACTAGGAGGGCCTGATATACCACTGCCCCTGATGAGCATATTTACCCTATGACTGGAATCTATCCATGTTGTGTCTGTCAAGGGGCCCTCCGTGCATCAAAAAGTCAAAGTCTGGACCTCGATCAGAAGTTCACTTCATAGAACGCAAACTCATGTTATATCTCGAGTCAATTAGACCCACTCACAGATGTAGAACAAATCTTCTTCCTATTACATTCTTGGCCAGCGTTCGAGCGTCGTTCGATGTCGATCCAAATCACATGCTTGCTATCCTTCAGTTCGCCTCTGCAGTGATCGACCAGCTTTCAGACCGTTGGCCCAAAATTGTTAAGCTTGACCGATCACTATGCAACGGGCATCTAAGTGTAGCATCTTACCATCACAGTGTCCTCAGGGGTTCGAATTAGCAGCTTCTTAGATTGCGCCATGCGAGTCAAAAGACAACCCACCTGACGAGTATATTTACGAAACACAGAACAGGCCGACGTAGGAATGAATACACACAGATACAGTTCAAATCACGGCTGTGTGCTAGTTTGAATTTATAGATCTCAAGAATCTCGGGACGTGTGAATGGTGTGAAACAAGCGATAGTAACACATGTTCTGTAACACAGAAAAACACTAGTCTGCTTGTAACTGAGACTGTTCTGATACAAGGCACACGGTTACTTGTGGGGAATTGCGCACTTACCTTCCCGAACAAGTCAGTTTGTTTCGTTTCTGTGCGCATTTGACTTTGGTCTGTGTGAAATTCTTTTTTTCCATGCAAGTTACAAGGTTTGGTCTGAATCAGTGTCGCCGACTCGACTTGATTCAGACAACACAATTTTCCTCGGAGCAAGCCGTTCGAGACCTAACCATCCACTATCCAGATCAGTGTAAAACGTCCTTTCCCATGTATCGGCACAAACGAGGTCCCAAACAGATGATTGGCAACTCCCAGCCACACTCCAATAATCGCTCAGTTATAGATTTGTCGATACTTTTGGCCTGATAAATAATTCGCAGCATGGTTTTCTTGTCAAGCGATCGTGCACCACCTACACCTAAACCACATTTCAGAATCGATCGATTACGACTATGCAGAAATAATTCTGTTTCTGGACATACACCACCATGCATTTGACAGAGTGCCTTACAAATGGCTGTTAAAAAGTTACAGGTCTTTGGGATCCGGGACCCATTACTAGGTTGCTTATCATTATACCTGAGTGGTCTTCACTAGGTGGTCACTTTGGGTGATTACCTTCCGCACGCCCCATCACTAGTGAGATCTTCCAAGTGAGGAGTTAGGTACTCGTCTACCTTCAATTTTACCGAACAGGTCCAATGCCAAGTACCACGTACCGGACTATCTGTGTGCAATAGATTCAACAAAATCCACAACCCATGCTAGAGGAGCTTTTTAAGTTACTCACCCAATTCTTTCTAGAATACTGCAACATAATATACGGCAATGGGAGAAAAGTGACAGAATTGCTGTGGAGCACTAGCAGATCTCGTTTACTAAAATCTACTTGGTGAGCACTCTGCTGTGAGTTATCGTAAATGTTGCGACGAACTTCAATTCGAACCACTGGTTTCGACGATGGACGCACAACTTGTTGCTGCTTTTCAACCTATTCCGATCTGCCTACACTCGAACAACAACATAGCTTAACTGGAGAGCTTTGTAATAAAGAATTACCAATCACACTCAGGTCATGTGATAATGTAGCTACATTTAGAAGCAAACGCTCCAATTACTTTGATCTAAATACCATATTCACCTGAGAAAGGTCGCTCGTTGAGCTATTCCAAGTGGGGTCCAACAGCATCGAAACACCAATATTTCTAAAACTAAGGTTTCCTCTCAACCATCCACCAGAACTTAAATACCTGAAACGCATACCCCAATATCCCACTATGCATATGCCCATCCAAGAGCATGGATACTTTTATGCAACTTGATTTGTGCCGCTACAAACACTGTTTCTCGCATCAAGAGAAATACGCGTATTGTTATTATTTATT